GACCTCGAGCTCGCACGGGTGCGCCCCGGCCCCGCAGGCGGCAGCAGGATGATCGAGGTGGTCTGCAACGACCGGCTGGGCAAGAAAGTGCGCGTCAAGTGCAAGTATCCTGTCCTGGGGCCAGGCCTGGCTGTCCGCCGGCCTGGTGCGAGCGGGGGGTGGGCGTGTGCGAGGGGTGGGATGGGAGAGCTCCTGTCCCTGCGGCTGCCGGGTCCCAGGAACTTCCCTTAACCATGGCACCCAGCACAGAGGACAGCATCCGCGACCTGAAGAAACTCATCGCGGCTCAGACCGGGACCCGCTGGGACAAGATTGTGCTGAAGAAATGGTGAGTGTGGGGCTGGGTCAGGTTTGGGGGGCGAAAGGGCTGGCAGCCCAAGGGCTCCTGGCAGCTGCTGGGTTTGGCCCCAGCAGGTGAGTTCACCCCTTTGTCCTCCCCAGGGAGGTTGCTCAAGTCCTGGGTATTCTCTGATGGGCCCGGGTTTGAGTCAGTCCTTAACTGTAACTATTTCCTTGTGTTGCTGGCTGCAGCTGCTCCCCCAGAAGCGCGTGTCCATCAAGGCCATGGGCTGCGACATGTTTGGGGAGGAGGAGGTTGCTGTGAGGGAGACTTTTTATTAGAAGTTGAAACAGAAATGATGGCTTAGGAGGAGTGGAAATAAAGTTAAAACCTTTTGTAAATGATGGATTGAAGTTTTTCTGTACCCTGAACTAGAGCTCTTTGTATTTATCCTGTAGGTGAAATGAAGGTTTCTTGTACTGTAACAGCACCTAAGGTGTCTTTTCCCTCCCATGCTTTTTGGGTTTGATGATTGCTGGCTATGAAAACATTTTGCTTATGAAACTATGGCCTTCATATATCAACTGCTCATTTTTTTATTAAAAAAGTAATTACTATTGGGAAATATTGATAAAACAACAGCAGTTCCTTTATTGGCTCCATTTTCTTTTATTGAGCCGTGTAACAAGCTTAGGTGTCTTAATTTCCTTTCAAACTCTTGCAGGTACACCATTTTCAAGGACCATGTTTCACTGGGAGACTGTATCCTTAAGCATCAGAATGGTCTAGGTAAAATGCATTTTAAAGACATCGGTATCTTTTAAAGCAAACCTTTTAGAAAATAGGTGTCACTCTCTAAGTACTTGAGAGAGAGAGACATTGCATGTAGATAGTCAGACAGTACCCCTTCCTTATCTGATATTGCTACTTGCCGCTAGTGAGATACCTTGCTTATGTCCTTAGGCACTGATTAACCATAACAGGTCAGTCATGTAGCAGGGTGGTGATTCTTTAGGAAAAGCTCTTGGCACAAACATAAAAAACCCTTTGGATTAATTTCCCAGTTTGTTGCTTCAGACATTAGCACTTAGAAGCAGCACATGGGTCTCAGACTCTTTTTCATGAGGCCAGCAGTTTATCTGGGGATTTTAGAAGGGGTTGTGACATGGAATAAGAATCATGTTGCTGAGAACTTGTGCACTTATCTAAGAAGTTTTCTGCTGTTGTTGGTTTTTGAATAATTGGTCTGACAGATGTCCATATCTAACACCCTCTTTCTTTTTGTATTTAAATATATATTCCATGGGAATTCCCTTAACTTTTACTCTTCAGATGAAATCCATGATGGCATGAACCTGGAGCTATACTATCAGTAGTTTGGACTTGAGCTGCAATTGTATATGGCAGGCAGCACACTTTCTGCTTTCTTTCTCTTAATATTAAACATGTCTATATATTTCCTTATTTAGTGTAAGGTGAAAGAGAAAAGCTCCAGCTGTGCGTATAGTTTAGTCAGAGCTATTTGGCTTTGGCAATAACACAGGCAGCAAACTTATAAGAAAATTGTTTATGTTCTTAAATTTGTGTTTGTAATAAATGTTTCCTGACAGTTGCAGTGTCCTGTTCATGACTTTAAGGCAGACAAAATCTCTTTCTTGGTAACTTCCACAGCAAACCTAATTAACACAGCTATTAGAAGGCAGCCTTGAGCTTTCTGAAATGACATGAAAACTGCTCTATCGCCATCTCCTAGGCTAGACTCATTTGTGGCTGAGAATTGAAAACCCAGAGCAAATGCATTTAATGTAACTTAGAAGCAGTCTGTTTTTTTTGTTTGTTTGGAGTTTTTGGGGGGCGGGGCAGGGGAGGGGAGTGGTAATTTTTTCTTAACAGAAACTTTAGTTCAGTGGTTTAAGGTATGGTCCAGACTGACAGATGCAAAAAACAGTTCCCATTATGTGCTTCCTAATGAAGCTGCTGACCATTGTGTGTTATGCACTATTGTTTTTCAATAATGCTCCAAGCAAAAAAAAAAATCCCACTCTGCACTGCTCATTTAACACGATTGATGTGAATTGCCTTGGGATCCCAGCCAAAGCAACAAGATTGGGAGTGAGACTGGGATGAATGAGAGGAATCCATTAAAAAGCACTTTAAAAGGAGTATTTCAATGTGTGTGCAGACTCCAAAACCCACTCTCTCATTTTACTGAGCTTATTTCTGTGCTGCTCAGTAATGTGTGTCACGTGCAGTACAGCAGCTGCCTGCAGTTAATAAGCATGTTTAATCAGCTGAGATTGAAGTTCAGGGCAGCAGCAGGAGATGATTTTGTCTTGATGTTTTCCAGAATTAAATGGCCAATGAGAAAAAGAAGTCTCTGTGCATTTCTGAGTCAGCCTAAGCACAGAGGCAGGGATGTTAAATGGGACTCTCTTCACAACAGCTGTTCTCTTTCTTATTTAAAGCTTTCCACTGACAAATATGGATGTTTATGGTGCCTTTTAAGTAATTTATTTTCCTGTTGGTGAAAGTAGTGAGTCTTGGACTGCTTCAGAGTTCTTTTAACCAGAAAGCCCAGTGAGGCAAGCTTTCCTAATCATGGTATTCCTCAACCCTAACTTTGGAGATAGGGCAAGCACGAAGTTCAGGTATTATTGTGAAATCAGCATGAGTGCAGCCTCCTGTGGACATACAGCATTTGTTCATTTGAATCAGAGCTTAGAACAGGAAGCAGAGAATTTTGTACCTAAAACTGCAGGGGGAAATTAGGAACTGCCTGGACTAGAATTGGGGCAGGACACCTGCTTTTACTTCTGTATCTTATGAAATTCCTTTTGGTAATTTTTCATAGGTAGAAAAAGTGCATGTCATGAGGAAGGCAGCAGGTGCACTGAGCTAACAGCAACTCAGAGGGGAAACCATCAAAACACAAGTTTCTGCAGCTCCTCTCAACACAGAGAGCAGCCAGTTGGCTCCAGCCTGATCAATGCAATGAATCAGAAGGCATGTAAATTTATACTTTGCATCTCATAGATTAAATCAGAGATCCATAAACTTTTGTAAGCTGCAGCTTGCTTCACCTCTTGCTGAGCAAAGCTTATATATCTCCGATTTAGACTGGGGAAGATGCAAACCTCCCTGACCTTCCAACCCCCACAGCTCTCGTAGAGACAATGAGCAACAGGCTGGAGAAGGTCCTTCCTGCTTAGTTTTTGAGCAGGAGCTAGTAAGAGGTGGCCATCGGGACAGCCCGTTTTGCTTCCATAGGCCCGGCTGGCACCTTGCAGCACCTGTTGAAGCCTGCTGCTACTTCTGACTGCTGCAAGCCTCCCCGCCTTCGCTTGCGTCTCACGCCGCGGCCCACCCGGGCGGCTTAGCGATGGAGCCCCGGCCACGAGAGGCGCCCCGGCCGGCGCAGCAGCAGCAGCGCCTGCTCCGTAGCTCCGGGTCGTTTACATTTTGCAAGGGCGGGCAATTAGCCTCCTGGGGGAGCCCCTGCAAGCTCCCCCGGTCAAAGGCACCCCCGACCCCAACTGGCAACCGGAGTCCCTGGCAGCGCCTGCACTGAAGCCCTGAGGGCTCCCCGGCACCCCGCAGGCGTTCCGCAACGCCCCTTGTTCCTCCCCGGCCGCCATCGTCATTCGCGCTACCCGACCCTGAATCGCTTCCGGGATCATTGCGGCCTCGCGCTCCGAGTCAATCAGGGCCGGGAGGGCGGGGGAGTGTGTTCTCCACCAATAAGCGGCCTGGAGGCGGGACCACGATCCCCTCTGAGCCAATGGCCGTTCGCAGCATCCTGCGCCGGGGCCTTCCTCTAGCCAATGGGTGACGGCGCGTGCGGCAGCGGGGAAGAGGCTGGGGGGAGTGCCGCGCGCAGGGAAGATGGCGGAGGAGGAGAAGG